TATATTTCCCTACCCTGATTATTAAGCTGGAATCTAACATGTAGCTGAAGGAAGGAAGGAAGGAAGGAAGGAAGGAAGGAAGGAAGGAAGGAAGAAAGAAACAAACAGAGAGAGAGAGAAAGAGAGGGAGAGAGAGAGAAGTCCAAGTTTCTACATGCATTCACTCACCACAACTGAGCGCTCTATAGACCCACCCCCAATTACGGTGAACCTACCCAGCTACAGACCCCACCAAGCTGAAGGGTCTGTTTCTGGATGATGCTTTACTCTCTCCCCCCTTCCCAACCCACAAAAAATACGCAAGGCTCTGGGGATCTGGAAATTTGAGACTTAAGGAATACTTTTAACAAAAGAAACATTCAGAGATACAGTCATATCCCGTGAAGCCGCACAGCAGCAGATCACATCAAATCCTTAAAAAAACCATGGACACCCCTTGATGGATGTAAAACTGAACAGGATTTCGATACTGAATGCTTTTGCCAGCAATTTCAAGACACAATCATCAATGAAAAAAGAATCCTTACGAGACAATCTCAGCAGAGCAGAAACAAATTGCCATCCAAAGACTCAAGAGACTAACAATGACATCATAATCAAACAAGCTGAGAGCAAGCAACTTGGCCCAGATCTCAGGCTATCACGCTCCCATAAGAGGCACCATAGACTTCTTAAAGATCAAAATCTACTGACAACTCCTCTGAGACCATCATTTAGCCACCGTGGATGTGCCACACAATAACTTGGGGTGACCTGATAGCAGACTTCCAGTATCTCAGGGGCTGCTCCAAAGAAGAGGGAGTCAAGCTATTCTCCAAAGCGCCAGAAGGCAGGACAAGAAGCAACGGATGGAAACTCACCAAGGAGAGAAGCAACCTAGAACTAAGGAGAAACTTCCTGACAGTGAGAACAATTAACCAGTGGAATAACCTGCCTCCAGAAGCGGTGAATGCTCCAACACTGGAAGTTTTTAAGAAGAGACTAGACAGCCATTTGTATGAAATGAACTAGGGTTTCCTGCCTGAGCAGAGGGTTGGACTAGAAAAGAAGAAACAGGGGCGACATGATAGCAGTGTTCCAGTATTTGAGGGGCTGCCACAAAGAAGAGTGGGGTCCAATTATTCTCCAAAGCACCTGAAGGCAGGTCGAGAAACAATGGTTGGAAACGAACCAAGGAGAGAAGCAACCTGGAACTAAGGAGAAATTTCCTGACAGTGAGGACAATTAACCAGGGGAACCACCTGCCTTCAGAAGCGGTGAATGCTTCAATGTTGGAGGTTTTTAAAAAGATTGGACAACTGTTTGTCTGAAATGGTATAGGGTTTCCTGCCAAGGTCCTTCCAACTCTGTTGTTCTGTTAACATTTCCACACATATGGGCTTCGAGCTGTGAGGATCATCATTAATGTCAACACGGTATGCCTTCTGTGAGTTTGCATTCACCAGTATGAGCTTGTACTGTGACTGAATTTCTAGTTCAGGGGTTCTCAACCTTGGCCACTTTAAGACTTGTGGACTTCAACTCCCAGAATTCCTCAGCCAGCTTTGCTGGGAGTTGAAGTCCACAAGTCTTAAAGTGGCCAAGGTTGAGAACCCCTGTTCTAGTTGCTGATGATTAACTACTTCATTGTTGTTAAGAATTTTGATTATAACAGTAACATCTAATTCAAAGCAAACTTGAAGGAAGAAAAAAAAAATAGAAGTAAAAAATGCAAGAAAAGAAAAAGAGCAAGGATATAATAAGGAAAAAGATAGAGAATAACTTCTAATCGTCATAAGTAGAGACAGAGTTAGTGTTTATACTCTCTCAAGTTACGTTTATTTTTCATTTATCTATAAACAAATCCATAAAACATCTTTTCAGTCCTGGTGCCAGCAGAAAGTTTAAAAAGTGTAACCAGAAGTAATAAGATATTTTTTTTTCATCAAATAAACTAACTGTACATTCCTCCCTTTTACTTCTTTTATTCTTAATATTTTATTTGTTGACAAATATTGTCATAGGATTTTTATTTCTCTTCATTTCTTCTTTGTCCCATCACAATTCCAAGGCCTTAACAAGCCTCGGCTGAAAATCCACTAGGAAAAAATTACTTAATAATAATAATAATAATTATAGTAAAGTTGGAAGGGACCTTGGAGGTCATCTAATCCAACCCCTTGCTCGGGCAGGAAACCCTACACCATTTCGGACAAATGGCTGTCCAGTCTCTTCTTAAAAACTTCCAGTGTTGGAGCATTTACTGCTTCTGGAGGCAGGTTGTTCCACTGGTTAATTGTTCCCATTGTCAGGAAGTTTCTCCTTAGTTCTAGGTTGCTTCTCTCCTTGATTAGTTTCCACCCATTGCTTCTTGTCCTGCCTTCAGGTGCTTTGGAGAATAGCTTAATTCCCTCTTCTTTATGGCAGCCCCTGAGATATTGGAACACTGCTATCATGTCCCCCCTTGTCCTTCTCTTCGTTAAACTAGACATACCCAATTATTATGCTTGGCCTGTCGGCTATAAAACTCTGCTTGTCCACAGCTCCATTGATGGAATTAAATCAACCATTTAGAAGACGACCTACCCAGCCAGTGAGATCAAGAGACCTATCAACAGAGCCAGATCTATCCCTAGAGGGGACCTATTAAAAGGCAGACCACAGGAACACAATCACCTAACACCACTATTGACACCTCCAATTCACAGCCATTCAAATGCATTATTAATAGGCTGCAACCATGCCAGACACAGCCAGCCAGCAAGCCAACCTTAAGGGGATCCAGAGGGAGCCAGATCCACTTTCTTATATGTGAGTTTGAGTTGTCTGTCTCAAATCACAGCCAAACTTAAATGCCTAATTGTCGGCTAATTCCCTTGCTTTTCAAATGAAAAATGACCCTAAGAATGGCTCCATCAAAGCCTATGCAAAAGAACACAGAACAAAAGGCTGGCACTGAGTCCTGGCCCATGCTGACTCAGGAATTCTGGGAGTTGAAGTCCCCAAGTCATAAAAGAGTCAAAGTTGCCTACCCCAGGGACTCTGGCCCAAGCCCTTTCCCAACGTTTGGTACAAAGGAACAGCTCTACAGAAAACAGAAAAATGCCCACTGAATAGGCTGGATTCAGTTAACAACCATGCGATTCACTTAACAACTGCACTGACTTACGAAAGTAAAAACGATGGGTAGTCCTCAATTTTTGACAATGACAATTCAGCCCCAAACGTACGTTGCTAAGTGAGAAATTTGTTGAGTTTTGCCCCTTTTAGGATTTTTCTTGCCACGGTTTATTAGGTGAATCACTGCAGTTGTTAAGATAGCCACACAGTTGTTAAGTGAATCTGGCTTCCCCATTGACTTCGCTTGTCAAAAGGTCGTAAATGGTGATCACGTGACCCCCCCAGGGCACTGTGAACGTCATAAATATGAGTCAGCTGCCAAGCATCCGAATTTTGATCACGTGACCACGGGGATGCTGCCACAGGCCTAAGTGTGAGAAACAATCACAGGTCACTTTTTTTCCAGCGGCGTTGTAACTTCAAATCGTCACTAAACAAATGGTTTACAACATTTCATTTAGTGACTGAAGTTACAACAGCACTGAAAAAACATTTTCACACTTACAACGGTTGCAGCATTCCCATGGTCACGTGATCAAAATTCATATGCTTGGCAACTGGCATGGACGCATGACGGTTGGAGTGTCCCAGGGTCCATGTTTGCAATCTTCTGACAACCCAAATGAACAGGGAAGCCAGATTTGCTTAATGACTTGTTAAGAAGTTCCGAGGACTCTCTATATACGCTTCAGTGTTCTGCCAAACGTAGTATAAAGGAGCATTTAAACGACGGACAATGTGGTGGCAAAATAAGACACAACCCACGGACCAGATATGACGCTTCTCCCTCTAGGAGGGAAATGGGCAGTTTAAAAAGAAAAGTGATTAAAAAATAAACTAAAATTAAAACAATAATAATAATAAAAAACCACCCTAGAAATAAACTTGCAAGGAACCAAATCCTGCAGGTGAGGAGAAAAAAGCCAGAAAGGTTTTTGCACCCCTTCCCCAACTTAATAACAATAAAGTTGGAAGGGACCTTGGAGGTCATTTAATCCAACCCACTGCTCAGGCAGGGAACCCTATATCATTTCGGACAAAGGGCTGTCCAGTCTCTTCTTAAAAACTTCCAGTGTTGGAGCATTCACCGCTTCTGGAGGCAGGTAGTTCCACTGATTAATTGTCCTCATTTTCAGGAAGTTTCTCCTTAGTTCTAGGTTGCAATGAAATATTTATGTGCACGTAGGCGGCATTATAAATTTAATAAATAAATAAATATTATAAGTTTTATAAACAAACAAACCATATAAATTTTATAAATAAACCATGTACCTTTTACAAACCATATAAATGTTATAAAACAATATAAACTTTATAAACAACCAATATACATTTTACAAACATATATTGTATAAACAAATATAAATTTCTATAAACGATATAAACTTTGTAAATAAACCATATACATTTTATAAACAAACCATATACATTTTATAAATAAACACTGTACGTCTTATAAACCACATAAACTTTATAGATAAATAAATAAATGGATTTTATAAATAAATAAATTTAGGTGGGGTGTTGTTTTTTTTAAACGGCCTCTCCTGATGACCCGCCCATCGCCCCCCCTCCAAGAGGACCCTCCTGAGTGACCCTAATTTTCCCTCAGCATCCCTCCCCAATTATTGGGCGCCCCCCCGGAAAGCCCCCTAAGATGAAAGGGAGCGCCTGGGGGGGAGGAAAGATCGGCGGGGGGGCCCCCAGAGGCCTAGATTCCCGCCCATAGATGGGCCCGGCCTCCCCCCGCAGGCACGGCCCGAGAAAATCCCCTCAGCAGCTACCGGGGATCGGGGCCCTGCCCGCTCCGGGCCTCCCTTCCTCACGCTCCTCAGATCCTGAAGGGGGTCTCCATGGCAACGGCGCCCGCCGTGGCCCGCGAAACGCCCCTCCGCCCTTACCCGCGTCTCGCTCCGTCTGGCCCGCGCTTTCCCCCCCCCCCGAAGCCCGCCTCCCCCCCCAGACTCAGACCGGACAAGCGGTCCCTCGGCGGCCTCCGTATTTCGCCGCGCACGCGCAGACGGTGTCCCCCGCCTCCCGGGCCCCGTTTCCAGGGGCGCCCAGCACGAGGTAAGAGCGTTGATTGGCTGAGCGAGGGCCATCCTCTTTCCTATTGGTCGGCGCTTCGGGAGCGCGCGGGAGCGGCAAATCCTGTCAGGCTGGGCGCGGGAGATCCGCAGCGGCCTCGGACGGCGGGCTTTCCTGTAGGTTTATCCGGCGGGGAAGGCGGGGAACCCGGCTTCTTCTCCTTCTCCTCCTCCTTCTCCTCTTCCTCCTCCTCCTCCTTCTTCTCTTCTTCTTCTTCTTCTTCTTCTTCTTCTTCTTCTTCTTCTTCTTCTTCTTCTTCTTCTTCTTCTTCTTCTTCTTCTTCTTCTTCTTCTTCTTCTTCTTCTTCTTCTTCTTCTTCTTCTTCTTCTTCTTCTTCTTCTTCTTCTTCTTCTTCCTTCCTCCTCCTCCTCCTCGCGTGTCACCCTCCTTGGGGAGGCCCTGGCCCAGCCAAGCCAGGGGCTGGCACAATTTCGCGGGTGGCGGGGGGGGGCGCAGCGCCCCAATCCTGGAATAAGAGAGATTTGGGAGCTGGTTTTTGCGCAATTCTTCCGTGCAGGGGGGGCAGCGCTCGGGACCCCCCTCCAGTCCCCTCACAGCTGCCTTCCCTGAGGTGGTGCCCCCCCCCGTCCCATTGGGCGGCCTTTGGGGGCCCAAGTCCACTGCTGAAAAGCGATGGGGGGGTCTCATATTTATGTGTGTGTGTGTGTGTGTGTGTACGTGTATATATGCGTATATATGTGTGTATTTATATGTGTGTATGTATATATATGCATGTTTTCTGAGGTTTTCGCAGGTGTTTGTATGTAGGTCTTTGGTTATTCGTGGGAGAAAACCCGAATAACCAAAGACCTACATATATATGTATGTATATATGTTTGTATATATATGTGCATATATATGTATATGTCCTTAATGGTTATAAAAATACGAATCTCGGGCATATTTGTTCAATGATGCACAAATGTATATGTGTGTATGTGTGTGTGTATATATACATACACACATGTATATACACACACTATATATACATGCCTATACACACACACACATATATATATACATATACATATATACACACATATACACATATAATACATTTATACATACATATACAAGTAAATTTAGATTTTGCTGACAAAGAGTTAAAGGGAGACTAGTATAGCTATTTCGAGCTATTTAGCTCTCATCAGCTAGCCATACCCTTTTGAGATTCGAACCTAGCTAATTGATGAGAGCTAAATAGCTCAAAATAGCTATATTAGTCTCCCTTTGTCAGCAAAATCTAAATTTACAGAAATAGTTTATCACAATAGTGACTTGAGCCTGCAAAATGCTCCTAGATTGGGGCTGAAAGGCAAAAGTAATCATAGTAGAACAGGTGTTCTATTAGACCGGTTTTACTGGAAAACACTATACATATACACGTACACACACACACCTCTCTCTCTGTGTGTGTGTGTGTGTGTGTGTGTGTGAAAGCAAAAGGTTTTATTTATCCACGGGTGTCATATTTATTTATTTGGAAAGCAAGGGTTTTTTTAATTTATCCCCTGCTGAAAAGCAAAGGGGGATTTTATTTATTCATTCATTTGTTTATTTGATTTTTGGAAAGCGAGGGGGGGGTTAATTGGTTTAACTTGATTGGATTTTTTTTTATATACTTACCTTGATTATTTTATAAATTGTTATTTTGGGATTCTCAAGATTTGCAGGCCAGGCCTCTGCCCCCACAGTTCTTGGCTTCCTTTCTTCTATTTGTCACCTTCCTTTGCTTTTCCTCCTGCTTCTATCTTCTGCGCTTTCCTTTCTGGAATCTAAAGACAGAAATGGTGCAGAGAGTCTGTGGGTTCATATAAATCCCCTATTCTTGTGTCTTGTGCCTTCCTAAGAAAGGAAAGCCATAATGATGATTTATTAAAGAAAATAAAGGTGCACCCAAGTCAGGGGTAGGCAAACTTGGCTCTTTTATGACTCGTGGACTTCAACTCCCAGAATTCCTGAGCCAGCTGAGCCAAAGTCACCTACCCCTGACCCAAGTCAATCCAATAGTGAAAGGATTGGATTGCTTGGATGCAATCCCAAAACATCTGGAGCATCCCTTGAACACCATAGGTGTTGACAAATTCACTATCAGTCAATTGCAGAAGGCAGCTTCACTCAGAGCAGTTTACATCCTACGATGGTACCTCTAATCATATCAGACATCAACATCTGCCTATCCTAGGTCTTTGGGAAGAAGAGGTGGATAAAAATGCCAAATCCCATCTGAACATCTGGCTGACTGTGCAAGGAACCATACTTTATTAAATAATGTTAGCATGTTGAAAAAAAAAGAAAGGGTAATTCTGTTGTCATTGCTTTGATAGGACAAACTCTCAAATAATGATGCCATCTCAGCCTTGATATGTGTCCTCTGTAAAGGATTTCCAGTTCCATATTAACAGTGTATGTGTGTATGTATGTACACTGTGTGTGTGTCTATTCATATTCTGTATACTTAAACTGCAGGACAATGAATGCAATACCTTAAAGTGTAAAATTCCACTTTAAGGTATTGCATTCATTGTCCTGCACTTTAAGTTGCTGACTTGTGTATCAAAATCTGAATGAGAATATTGTGCAGTGATTGATGTTTGGGTCAAGGACTTGGATATTGTCCTGTTCATATTGGTATCGTTATTCTCTCTTGGTATTTCTTGCTAAATCTTCTGATGGAGTTTCCTTGGGGCTAATTCACCTGACATTCTGCCTTTTCATACAGATTTTTGGGGAAATTGCCAAATGGAACTATGGACCCTTTGGACAAAATTAAGATCCTCCTGAAAAAATGGGAGACTTCTTTTTTTCAGGAGCACCAGAGGAAGCCCAACAAGGTATTTTGAATGTGGTTTAATATCTCATTACAATAGGTTTCATTTTTATATATGTAGACTAATTAAACCATTTGCAACACAAGTGAAATCAAGCGGATTTCCGAAATCATTTCTTTGTGTTTATTTTCCAGGCAGATGTTCTGGATGCTCCTGAAAAAATAAAAAGTAAGCATGATTCTTCCCTACAGCGCATTACAATACTGGGTCTGGAGGTACACTAGTCGATGTGATAGAGCATCAACTTTGATCAGTAGAAAGTGATAGTTATTTGCAAACATTTAAAGTGCTATGTTTTGATCATTTTCTTATCAGAATGGAAGGAAGACTAGAAATCTGCATCTAAAACTTTAAACTAGGTGCTAATTGCAATGATTTTATAACAAAAATAAATGGCTCCTCATTTTGATTGCATTGCTATATGTTTTGTCAAAAGTGACTTCTTACTGAAGAAGACTATCAAGTGATTAATTAACATATTGTTTATAACAACAACAACAATAATAATAATAAAGTTGGAAGGGACCTTGGAGGCCATCAAGTCCAACCCCCTGCTCAGGCAGGAAACCCTATATCATTTCGGACAAATAGCTGTCCAGTCTCTTCTTAAAAACTTCCAGTGTTGGAGCATTCACCGCTTCTGGAGGCAGGTTGTTCCATTGGTTAATTGTTCTCACTGTCAGGAAGTTTCTCCTTAGTTCTAGGTTGCTTCTTTCCTTGGTTAGTTTCCATCCGTTGCTTCTTGTTCTGCCTTCTGGTGCTTTGGAGACTAGCTTGACTCCCTCTTCTTTGGGGCAGCCCCTGAGATATTGGAAGACTGCTATCATGATAATTAATTACTATTCATTGTTTTTTTTAAATACATGAACCCAGACAATATGCTGTTTGCTAAATATTAAGAATGTTATTTTAAAAAAACCCTAACCCCAACCCCATCCTATTCCTAATCTTATAAAAAATAGTAAAATATAAAAGTGACTTCTGACTCTTTAACTTTTTACTATCAAAAAAGCACAATTTAATTGTGAGTCTTATTATAATGTTATGAGGACACTGGTGACTAGCACCAAACAAACTATTGTTCAGGTCCATCGGTCAATCCCCCTCAGCTCAAAGTTTGTCAAGAATTTGGAAATGTGTGATTTTTTTTTTTCATCTGGATCGAAGCTAACGTTTCATTCATTTAATGTAAGAATAACAGCTAAATTTTTCCTTCTTGGCTTTTAGCAACTGTAATTTCAGTGTCCCAAAGGTGTTTTTTTCAAGAGGCAACGGAACTTACTTTGTTTTTCTTTGAAGACGTTTTGCTTCTCATCCAAGAAACTTCTTCAGTTCTTTTTGGATGAGAAATGAAACATCGTCCAGGAATAACAAAGAAAGTCCAGTTGCCTCTTGAGAAAGAACTTGGATGTCTGAGAATCTCCATGGACATAATTTCAGTGAGCTTTAACTGAATACACTTCCATGCTTTAGTTAAAAGAACTTTTTTTATAACAAGTTTTATTAATTTTTCAATTTTACATCCAAGCATTTAGGAAGCAGCGTGGTGATAGGGTAATCAATAGTCCAATAACAAAATCTTTCGTGCATATCTCAGGTTGCGTCATTAAAAGTTCCCTCTCTATTTCCCTTAATTATGATATCACATTCAAGTTAATACATTTCTAGTTATAGCTCAGTCAGTCGATACATTTGTCAATATAATTTTACTTACACATGTCACCTAAATAGGAGCCAGCCGTGTGCTGCAGCTGCCAAAAAAGCCAATGCAGTGCTAGGCTGCATTGACAGGGATAGAATGAAGATCACGTGAAGGGTTAATACCACTTTACAAGGCTTTGGTATGGCCACACTTGGAATACTGCATCCAGTTTTGGTCACAGCGATGTAAAAAAGATGTTGAGACTCTAGAAAGAGTACAGAGAAGAGCAACAAAGATGATTAGGAGACTGGATGCTAAAACATATAAGGAACGGCTAGTGGAATTGGGTAGGTCTAGTTTAAGGAAGAGAAGGACGAGGGGGGGACATGATAGCAGTCTTCCAATATCTCAGGGGCTGCCCCAAAGAAGAGGGAGTCAAGGTATCCTCCAAAGCGCCTGAAGGCAGGACAAGAAACAATGGAGGGAAACCAATCAAGGGGAGAAGCAACCTAGAACTAAGGAGAAACTTCCTGACAGTGAGAACAATTAACCAGTGGAACAACCTGCCTCCAGAAGCGGTGAAAGCTCCAACACTGGAAGTTTTTAAGAAGAGACTGGACAGCCACTTGTCTGAAATGGCATAGGGCAGTGGTTCTCAACCTTTTTATACCGGCGACCCCGGTCATAAGCACGCACCACGCATGCGCGCCGCAGCCCCCTGCGCAGCGCACATGCGCAGCGCCGTCCCCTGCGCCGCCCCCTGCGTGGCGCGCATGCGTGGCGCTGCCCCCTGTGCTGCCCCATGCGCAGCAACGCCCCCATGTGTGGTGCCGCCCCCTGCGCCGGCTGAGGAAAAAAATGGCGGAAAAAATGGCGGACCGTGTTGTTTGGCGACCCCTGTGAAATGGTCGTTCGATCCCAAATGGGGTTGCGACCCACAGGTTGAGAACCACTGGCATAGGGTTTCCTGCCTGAGCAGGGGGTTGGACTTGATGACCTCCAAGGTCCCTTCCAACTTTATTATTATTATTATTATCGATCATCGCACAGTCAGCCAGATGTTCAGACTGGATTTGGCATTTTGTCTACCTATCGAGTCCTTACCCAGGACCTGGGATAGGCAGATGTGGATGTTTGATGGTATTACAGATATCGTCGCAGGATGGAAGCAGTTCCTAATAAGGCTGCCTTTTGCAATTGACTAATAGCGAATTTGTCAATGCCAATGGTGTTCAAGTGGTGCTCCAGTTGTTTTGGGATTGCACCCAAGGAGCCTATGACTATTGGTACTACCCTTGCTTGCTTTTGCCACAGTCTTTCTATTTCTATTTGTAGGTCTTTGTATTTTGTTATCTTCTCCAGTTCTTTCTCTTCTATTCTGCTATCTCCAGGCACTGCCACGTCCACTATCCAGACTTTTTTGTCTTTCTTATCGACAATTGTTAAGTCTGGGGTGTTATGTTGCAGGTGCTTGTCTGTTTGAATTCTGAAGTCCCAGAGCAGTTTAATTTTATCATTTTCTATGACTTTCTCTATTTTATGATCCCACCAGTTTTTGCTTACAGGCAAATGATATTTTTTGCAGATCTTCCAATGCACCATTGTTGCTACTTTGTCATGCCGCTGCTTGTAATCAGTCTGTGCAATCTTCTTGCAACAGCTTACCAAGTGGTCCACTGTTTCTTCAGCTTCTTTGCATAGGCGGCACTTACTGTCTGTTGCTGTCTTCTCAATTTTGACTTTGTATGCATTTGTCCTTAAGGCTTGGTCTTGTGCAGCCAGAATTAGTCCCTCGGTCTCTTTCTTCAATTTTCCTGCTCTTAGCCATTGCCAGGTTTTATTATTATCTGCTTTCCCAGCTATTTTTTTAATGTATTGGCCATGTAGTGCTTTGTCTTCCCATGCCTCTATTCTGTTCTTCATTTGGTCTTTCTTGTAGGCCAGTTTGGTCTCTCCAGTAGTTAGTAAGCCTTCCTGATATACTAATTTCAGTGCATCTTCATCATTGTTCTTCAGATATTCTTCCAAAGCCATTTTTTCTTCTTCAACCATCTGATGTACTTGTAGCATTCCACGCCCACCTATTTGCCTGGTAGATAAAGTCTATCAATGTCACTGCGTGGATGAAGGGCATGATTCATTGTCATTATTTTTCTGGTCTGCCTATCCATTGCTTTTAGTTCTGCTTGAGTCCAGTCCACTATTCCAGCTGTGTACCTAATGACTGGAATTGCCCAGGTGTTGATTGCCTTTATGGTATTTCCTCCATTGAGTTTGGACTTTAAGATCTTCTTCACTCTCTTGATGTATTCACCTCTAATCTTTTTCTTGACTTCAGTGTGCTTGATGTTGTCAGCTTGAAGGATACCCAAGTATTTGTAGTACTCTTCCTCATCCAGACTCTTAATGTTATTTTCGTGGGGCATCTTGATTCCTTCAGTTTTCACTATTTTTCCTTGTTTGATAGTAAGTGTGGCACATTTGTCCAAGCCAAACTCCATTACAATATCTTGGCTATATATACGGACAGTGTTGAGCAGCGATTCTATTTCAGATGATGTTTTTCCATACAGCTTCAGATCATCCATATAAAGGAGGTGGGATAGTCTGGCAGATGTTTTTGATGTTTGATAGCCATGTCCTGAGTTATTCAGTATTTTTGACAGAGGAAACAGTGCAATAACAAATAGTAATGGTGATAATGAATCCCCTTGAAATATTCCTCTCTTGATATTAACCTCTCCCAGCCTCTCACCATTGATCTGCAACTGTGTCTTCCATTGTGCCATCGATCTTTGCACAAATTTTCTGATGTTTCTACTGACTCCTTTTATTTCTAGGCACTTTATTATCCAATCATGTGGCAGAGAGTCAAATGCCTTTTTTGTAGTCAATCCATGCCACATTCAGGTTGGTCTTCCTTCTCTTGCAGTTTTCCAAGATCATTTTGTCTATTAGGAGTTGATCTTTTGTTCCTCTGCTATTGGGGCGGTTTCCTTTCTGCTCAGGTGGAAAGAGATTGGTTTCAACTAGATGCTGTTGTACTGCATCAGCTACCACACCAGTTAGTAATTT